TTTATTTTACTCAGAATTGTATAATGAAGTCACAGGAATAAGACATGGACATGCTGAGATGTGATTAAGCAGAGATCTGGCTGCATTTTTCCGTTAGCGATAATCAGAAATGTGCAGGGTTGGGGGAACACATGAGATTCTTATTGGTAAAGTGATGTGTCACGAGTGTCCAAACACAGTGTGGAAAACGGAATCAGCACACATGGCGGCACTGTCCCTGTTTATTCCTGCCGGTGGCCACCTGTAGTCCCCGCTTCGTAAGGCAATCTCAACGCAGTGAAGACGGAGAACTTGGAAGCAGTCTGTTACAAACGGGAGTTGAGGTCGGGTAGTTTTACTATGTACATTTGCACATTTGGGGGAAAATCCCAAATAAGTTCTGTGCTCCATGGGGGACAGCCATGGAGCATAAAAATGGAAGAGTGCTACAATGAAAAGGCAGAGCATTAATTTCTGGACTCCTGACATTAAACTTCTCGATCCTGAATGTCTAAGTTCTTGTCTGTGCACTGACAAAGTTGTATTTGTTTGCTTTTATTTTTGTACTAATAAAATAGATTATAAAGTTAGCTGGATCTTTGTTCTTTCAGCCTCCATCCTGTCAGAGAGACATGCTGTCTTGTATTCGGCACTTCTATTTATTTATTCTTTCGGCCCATCGCCTTGTTTGATTCAACATCAGCGTTATTATTAACCTGTGTATATCATAGTAACAGTTACAGAAAATGTGCTCCTTAGTCTGTAGCAACAGTTCCAAGGGCAACAAAGACTGCCCTTCGACAAGGATTTCAGGAGAAAACTGTTGTGTGTGTACACATGTATACTCGGAGTTTCCCTATTTAAAGTGTTCTTAAAGAGTTTTAGATGTACCTACTTTGTCTTCTTCTGTTTTGTTTTTTTAATCTTCACTTGAGGATATGTTTATTGAGAGAGGAAGGGAGGGAGAGAAATGGATGTGACAGAGAAACATTGATCGGTTGCCTCCCATACGTGCCCTGCTAAGGGATCAAACCTGCAGCCTGGCTATGTGTCCCTACCTGGAATCGAACCCGTAACCTTCGGGTGCAGAGGACAAGGCTTCAGCCAACTGAGCCACCAGGCCAGAGCTCCTCTGTTTCCTAAACTAGCTTATTTAACACAAATGCTTGAAATTTCAAAAACTCCCCTGTATATCAAATATTAAATTACATTAGTTGGTCTTTCCTTTAAGGAAGATTACCATACTCTGAGACACACTTTTGTGTCTTTGTATTAGTAAATTTTATATCAGTTGATTTCTGATAGAGAATACTAGATTCATTTTTTAAAAAACATTAAGCACATATAAATCACTTTTACAAAACAAACACCTAATTTTTTTAACCCCTTGATGTAAAGTTTCAAAGTATATTTATGTTAATATTTCCTTAAATTTTGATCAGAAGCTGTTTTTTTCTATTGCATTTATTGGGGTGACATTGGTTAATAAATTACATAGGTTTCAGGTGCGCAATTCTATAAGACATCATCTGTATATTGTATTGTGTGTTCACCACTCAAGTCAAGTCTCCTTCCATCACCATGTATCCCCCGTTTACCCTCTTTACCTCACCCACCCCCTTTCCCTCTGGCAATCACCATCCTGTTGTCTGTGTCTATGGGGGTTTCGGGTTGTTGTTGTTTTTTGTTTTGTTTTTTTGCTTAATCCCTTCATCTATTTCACCTATCCCCTCAACCCCCTCTTCTGACAGCTGTGAGTCTGTTCTCTGTATCTATGAGTCTGTTTCTATTTTGTTTGTTAGTTTATTTTGCTCATTAGAATTCTCACCACAGCTTTGCTAGCGATGAGACTCATTTTACAAATGAGGAAATTGAGGTTCGGCAGGATCAGGAGTCTTGCAATCAAGCTGCTGGGTCTGTCCAGCTGCAGAGGCCACTGACCTCACACTGTATTCAGTGCGGCCCGCTGCTGGTCAACCAGGGAGAAGACATCACAAGGAGCCTGTCAGGAGAGCTACCTTGAGGATTCAAAAAGCAGTAATTCAGCCCAATTTGGTGGTAGCCAATGACGACGGCCATGTGGCCATTAAACTAGACTGTGAGTCACTCAAAAGTTGTCACCGTGACCTAAATTTTGGACCTTGGGCATAAGAAGGACTTAATCAGTGTGTAGGGAAGACTGGGGAAGCAGTGGTGGGGAAAGAACCTTAGATGGGAATCTTCTGACCTAGGCTTTGCCTCAGGCACTTGATTTTGAGGCTGTTTTTAATTTGTAAAGTGAGAAATTGTACCAAATAATGTGAGATTCCTTCCAGCTTAAAGTGGTTTTAAATATTAGAGATCATTACAATTTCCAGGTCATTTAGTGCAGTTCAAAGGTCCTTTAGTAAAGTTTTTGGAAAGGCAATTGGACCCAGAAATCATTCCCTGGAACCATGTTGCTATGTTTGTAGATCTAGACAATATTTATCATTAAAGGACACTCTAGCTTAGTACTTTGCATATATATATATATATATATATATATATATGTATGAACTTGGTAAATATTCAAATTACTGGCTGAATCTTTTGAGCTACTGATAGACTCTCCATGTCTTCTCTCCATCTTAGCCAAGTAGCTTAAGCAAGCCATAAGTAATTTTAAAAAATAATTCCATAAAACAATTACTGACCATTGCTACACTGCATTGAGTTTATATTTTAGTAAAGATCATTGAAAGTTCTTGATAAACTGCTTTTGTAACTACCAAGTAAAACAAAAGGGCTTACTGCCGGCTTCTTAATGATCTGATCTTTTAAGAATAAACTTAGCTCTTTCTGAGGTGTCTTAATTATGTAATGTCATTAAGCAACATTTGCAGACTAGATACATTAATAAATGATAACCTAGTAATGAAATAGATGAAAGTAAGCCATCTCTTTTCGCCCTTGGGAATTTCTTTTTCAGCAAATACACTTTATTGCAAAACTTTTCCCTTAAAAATAAAACGTGGTTTTGCAATCGCCACTTGATTTCCTTCCTAGTTGTGGCTGTTTCTAGTCCCATCTCACAGTAACATTTTCACAATCTTAACTTCTCTATCAATAAAAAAAAAATGGGGGCCACCTCCCCCAGCAATAATTAATGTAGCATAAACCTTTTGAGGAGAAAAATTCTAAAATATATTTTGAAACTAAACATATATGATGATGGGGCAAGGAAGTTGCTGCTTTGAATGAACTGTTCTACTGCCCCATTTCAGCTTGTTGCTTCTTTGCAACTACATAGCTGCTCCTTCTTAAAGCTGCCATAAAAATAATATTCCAGGTATATTACACTTTTATTTGCATAAATAAAACTAAGCTATTGTTACCAAAATAACCTCTAAAGCTTAGCTGAGTAAACCAGGCAAATGCAATTTAAGAGAGCTGATTCAGCCCTGGCCGGTTAGGCTCCGTGGTTAGAGCGGCAGCCTAAGGACTGAAGGGTCCCGGGTTCGATTCCAGCCAAGGGCACAGACCTCAGTTGCAGGCTCATCCCAGGCCCTGTCGGGTATGTGCAGGAGGCAGCCGATCGATGTGCCTCTTTCACATCGATGTTTCTCCCTCTCCCTCTCTCCCTCTCTCCCTTCCACTCTCTCTGAAGAGCAATGGGAAAAATATCCTCGGGTGAAGATTTAAAAAAAGGTGATTCATAAAGTCATTGAAGAAATGCACAATTATTTGGGGGGAAAACTTGATGCCTTTAAACAACATATCTTATTTTGTAAAAATGTTTTTCAGCCTGCATATTTGCTTTCTATTGTGTTTTTTTCTGAATTAAAAAAAAATCCATTTATTGGCATTTTCTTTCCCAACTAAACGACAAACTCCCTGAAAGCAGAGACTGCTCTTGATCATACCGGCACAATAAATGTTGAATCAAACTGGTTTTGATTACTGGGAGAAAGCTATACACAATTTCCACTTTAAAACAATGCTCTCCTAAAAAATGAGCTGGAAGTTAAATGTGCAAAAGCCAAACAATTGGCTCCCACATTATAAGTGGGATTCCCTTTTTCAGTGCAATCACGGTGTATATCTGTCTTCGGACACAGGGTTTGCCAATATATTTTACATTTGTTCTGTAATTTTTTTTCTTCATAGTTGAACACACAGTTCACAGGCTTAAGTTAATCTGATTAAAGCTTAATAGTATCACCTGAAGATTCCTATCTTTGTGGGATTTTTTTAATTGAATATATATTTGACATATAACATTGCATAAATTTAAGTTATACAACATGTTACTTTGATAAATTTATATATTCAGCCATGGAAAGGAGTATATCCTGCCATTTGTGACAACATGGATGAATCTTGAGTACTTTGGTTTAAATTTGTTTTAATTTTCAATTTTGTATCATTTATGAGAACCCATCTTATCACTATTATTAGCACTTTCATTTCCCCCTTCCCCTCTTAATTTTATTAACTGATGACACAATGCAATAAAATGTAAAGTATTCAAAATGCAATAGAACAATTTAACTTTCCCAATACCTGTACATAAACACACTCACATGCACTCACACCACCACCACCAACAAAAACAACAACTTGAAATGTTGCCAGGCACTTCTATGTCTCAGATCGTTCATCAGATAATGTGCCCAAGTTAAACCAAAAAGGCAATTCAGAGATGTCAGTATACAGTGGATGGTGGGGAAGGGCGATGGCATTGAAGCTTACAAGAGCTGAGAACCACTGGTATTTGGAATCACGGCATTTTAGAACCTTGGAGAGTTCTTTGTTTATGTGTTGTTTTGCTTTTTACATGTCTGTCTTCTCTACTAAACCAATAAACTGAGTTGAGGCCACAGAGGACTGATAGTACAAAAATAATAACTGAAAAATGCCATTTCCAGGAATATTTTATATTTCCTTAATGTTTTCCTTCTTATGCATTAGTAATATACTTAATGAGTCTTTTACCCAGTGCTTTCCAGAGGAGCCCTGAAGTTACAGTTAAAACTAACATAAAATTTAAGTTGAATTTTAAATGTTAAGCTCTTAATTTAATTATTGTGATATTATATTTTCTTATAGTATCAGAAGTCTGAAGCTATCATGGAACAATTGAAGTCTTTTCAAATAATTGCTCGTCTAAAGCGTCTACAGGAGGAAATTTATGAGTTGAAAACTTGGTCCAACAGGATAACTGAAAAACAGGATGTATTGAACAACAATCTGACAACTCTTTCGCAAGATGTTACAAAAGTAGACCAAAGTACAACTTCCACTGCAAAAGATGTTGGTCTCAAGATTGCAAGTATAAAAACAGATATACGACGTATCTCTGGTTTAGTAACTGATACAACATCATTGACAGATTCTGTGCAAGAACTGGAAAATAAAGTAGAAAAGGCAGAAAAAAATACAGTAAAAAACATAGGTGATCTTCTTTCAAGCAGCATTGACCGAACAGCAACGCTCCGAAAGACAGCATCTGAAAATGCACAGAGAATTAACTCTGTTAAGAAGATGCTTTCGGAGCTCAAGAGTGATTTCAGCAAGCACACAGATAGGTTGTTAAGCTTAGAAAGTGACAGAGCTAAAGTTCTGAAGACAGTGACTTTTGCAAATGATCTAAAGCCAAAGGTGTATAATCTAAAGAAGGACTTTTCCCATTTGGAACCATTGATAAATGATTTAACGCTACGCATTGGGAGATTGGTTACTGACTTACTACAAAGAGAGAAAGAAATTGCTTTCTTAAATGAAAAAATATCTAATTTAACAATAGTCCAAGCTGAGATTAAGGATATAAAAGATGAAATAACACACATTTCAGGCACTGATTAGTTTGAAATTATTTAGATTAGGTGGAAGCAACTTGTTTTTTAAATGGGACCTCTGTCATGTTATGAAAAGACTGACAAGTTAGAAATAATGAAATTCCGGAGTAAATACCATTTTGTACATGATTCTATTTTGTACAGTAAAAATGAAATTTTTAAAAGGGTTGTGCACTTGATTTTTCAAATTAAGTATGCTAAAAATATAGTTGAAACTTTCTTTAGCAAGAACCTTATGCGTCCCCTTGATTCTCACACACACACACACACACTGGGACAAGTGGGGAGAGCAGGGTCTGCAGTCTAGCGCTGGGAAATCTAGGTGGGGCAGGATCTGAACCCCCCACTTGTGCTCGCTGACTGCCAGGGAGCATAGAATGTGGGCTTGGGGTTGTGGCATTCATTATTCAGGATCAGGGCTGTGGCTTTCATTATTCGCTTAGAGGAAGAGGTATTTTTGTCCATGGTTGTTTTATTTGTTTGAACACATTTATGGGGTGCTTAATGTGTGCCAAGCACATGTGTAGGTGCTTCGGGGGATGCATAGCTGGCTAACAAGTACCCCCTGATCTTACAGAACTTAAGAGTTGGCTACTAGGGGGTTTAATCAGGGCTCTGGTTGTAAGAAACAGTAACCCAAGTTATCTCATGGGGCAGGGGGGAGGGTTTATTAATCTGTGAGTATCTCAAGGAAAGAATTGTGGTATATAACCAGTGCTCATGGGACCTGGGACCACAAGGCCAGTACCAGTAGAGACAGAGCTCTCTTTCCCCTTTGAAGGGACGAAGCATCGACCTCTAGACCTAGGCACTTGTTAGAAACGCAGAATCTCAGGCTCCCCCTCAGAGCTGCTGAATTAGAATCTGTATTTGTAACAAAATCCTGAGGAAATTCATGTGGACATTGAAGATTGAGAAGGCTTTTGCTGTAAGAGAAACTTGCGGGAGGCTGACCTGACCAGAGGCTGGGATGCCTCTGATGAAGTTTATCCCGCATCTTCACACTTCTTCAAGAACCTGTCTTTACTCAGTCAACACTATTCTTTTTTTATTATTTGTTTTTATTGATTTAA